AGTTTCAGTTTTATTTCAGATGTCATAAGACATCATATGATAAGTTCTATATAAAAATCAATAAAAAGAATATTTAAACTTAAAAAAAAACAAACATTAAATCAATTTATAACAGATCAAACTTAAAAAATAAAAATAAAAAACCAGTTTCAAATCATGTTTCTTAAAATATTTCTATTTTTAAGTTTAATGAAAACACAAATTTCATTAAATGAAGTTGAACAACAAATAGGAAGTCGCGTATTTATCAGTAATAGAGGTGGTTATTTACATGCAATAAATAGAAATGATTCTATAATAGAAACTGAAAAAAGTATTGAAAAAGCCACTAAATGGATTTTAGAAAAAAGTGATATGAATGAATATTTTATAAAAATAGACGGTGGTTATGATAATTTATCAATTACTTCCAAAAATTCAGAGGTATTAGTAAATAGATTTTATGGTGAAGATAATCAAAAGTTTAATATAGAAGTTTCTGGAAATAAGTTTTTAATTTCTGGTGTTGATGGATGTTTAGCAGTTGTTAATAATAAACTTACAATAAGAGATTGTAATGAAAATATAACTGAACAACAGTTTGTAATTAAGAGTAGTGAATTACCAAATATTTCTGATAAAGAAAGAACTAAAATTGAAAATTTACCTAGTGAGTTTTATTTGATTTCTGATAATTTAAAAGTGCTGAATAACCAAGAAAATAGAAAAGAAATGTATTTTGATTCAATCGCAGAGACTGTTTTATTCAAAAGAGAACAAAGTGGGTTGTTTTATATAATTTCAGATCTTAATTCTAAAAATGCATTAGATACTGAATCGGGTGATTCTGTTAACTTAAAAAATAAAACACCAAAAAGATCACAATTATTTGTAATATTACCATTTAAGGAAAACAAGTTTAAATTGATTGAAACAGTTAATGGTAAATGTTTAACTAGAGATTTAGATACTAATGGATTTAAAACAGAAGATTGTGACTTTAAAAAACAGAACCAAGAATTTCAAATAACAAACAAGCTTCCAGAAGAAAATGAACCCGAGACCATTAAGGAAAATATAAAGGGAATTGAAGATGATGATGAAATTTTTTACCTTTTAACTTCTAATAAAGAAGAAATAATAACACTTTATGGGAATCAAATAGGTGTAACCAATCGTTTTGAAAGTTATATTAAATTTAAGGCGGTACCTACTGAATTAGATGATAAGTATTATTTAAAAGTTTTAGATGGTAAAAAAGAATATTTCTTAAATGAGATGGGAGGTGAAACATTATATTTAGATTTTAAACCATTAACAAACTGGGAGATAATAGGAAATGATGATTTTATTACTATAAAAGAAAATGATAAGTGTATTTCAAAAGTACCAGGAACAGATCAAAATATATTAAAACTCTATGCATGTCAACCAGATTATGATACACAAAAGTTTTTTAGTACATCAGATTTAAAAATTACTTTAATGGCAGATTTGATGGAAAATAAACTTCCTAAAAATAGTAGTATTGAAGAAATTACTAAAGATTTGATTAAGAAATTAAGAAATGTAGACATATTGAGACATCTTAATGAAGATGAAAATTTACATAAAAAACAAAATTCAAAAACCTCTAATAATCTGCAACATAGTCATAAATTTAATCATGGACATGATGAACATTATTTACCGTTTGATAACAATAAAAATAAAAGAAATCCAATTTCAAGGAAAGAAGGAGAAGTAAAATTAACAGATAGGGAATCAAATTAATTAATAAAATTTAAAATAAAAATGATTGTTAAAAAGTATAAAATTTTTTAAATTAAATAAATAATATGTTAATGAGTTTTAAAATAAATTATTTTTAAAATATTTATTATTTAATAAATATTTTTAAATTATTGCTTCATATTGATAATTAACAGATAAAACTTAAAAATAAAAACAAATTTTCTTGTTTTAAGTATGATATTGACAATTTTAACTAAACTTGTTTTAATAAGTACAGATAATAACTTAGTGGGAAAGACTGTTAAAATTAAATCAAATGGTAATTATTTAAAAGCACTTCCAATAAGAGAAAGTATAATTGGTATTACTAAAAACTCAATAGACGCTAGTAAATGGAAATTAAATAGTGATAATAACGGACATACATTTTATATTGGGTTATTAGAGAATGAAAATATGGTAATTTCAACTAATAACATTCTAAAAACAAAAATTTCAATTAGAGACTTAAAAGGAAAAGAGAATAGAAAACAGTTTCAATTAGAAAAATTGAGCGACAACACTTATAAAATAAAACAGAATGGTTTAAAAGGATGTTTAACAAATAACATAAACAGAATTATTGGTAGAAAATGTGATTCAAAAGATATTAATCAAACATTTAAAATTGAAGAAGTTAATGATGACCCTCCAATTGAAGAAAAATTGAATGATGTTCCAATACAAGAAACTAAAGAAACTAATCCAGTTGATATTTGGTTAAATAAACCATTAAATTTAGAATCACAATCAGGTTTATTAACAGAAGTAAACAATCAATTGATTTTTGGAAATGATGTTCCTATTGAATTAACAATTAAAAAAATAATCGATTCTTATCAATTCATTAACCAAGTAGATGATAAAATATTAACAGTAGATAACAATTCTAGACTACCAATATTTAGTAATGAAGGTTCCTTGTTTACTATTGTTAGTAAAAGAGATAATAAAATAACAATGATTGATGTAAATAGCAAACAATGTTTATCAGTAGGATTTAATAATCAATTAATACTACATGAGTGTAATGATAGTTCAAATCAGGAATTTGAAATAAAAGAAGCAACTAAAAGATCACAAGAATATATTGATTCATTAGAAAATAAAAATAATAATAACACAATTAAAGAACATTATGAAAATATGGATATTGATAGTTTAAAAGAAAAAGAAAAACAAGAATCTTTATCAAATCACAATCATTCACTTCCACCATTAAATGATAAAAAAGAAAAAGATTCATCAACTGCTAAAGCAAATGTAAGAATTACTAAAAGTGAAAATTCTTCTCCAAAAGCTCATAGTTTTTCAACTTATAAATATTCTAATGGAAACAAGAATGGATCTGTAAAAAGATTTAATAAAAACCCAAGTGGTAGTAAAACTACTACAACTATTAAAAGAGTCAGTTATGGGAAAAAATAAGCTTAAATTAAATTAACATTAAAAAAATTTGTTAGTAGTTTTAATGCAAGTACAAAACTTAAAGAGTAAATCATCAAAAGAATTAAAAATGTATTTAGAAAGACTAAACTTACCACCAAAAGACAGAGAGAGAATATATACAGAATGTTTGCCTTTCTTAAAGAATGATCTTGACTCACTTTACATATTTCTAGATTTAATAGACATGTACTACCAATCAGAAGATCTAGAGACAATATACAGTCTATTTATGGTTAATAAGTATAGATTTAAGCAGTTTTCACTCTACTGGAAAAGACTACTAGAACATTCAGTTTTATATATGAAGTTGGATTTTAATAAGACGTTTGATAAAATAATTCATTTGATAAGTAAACAAGTATTTGACATGAAATATAACCTAATTGAGTATCTCAATGAGAATAGAGAAGAGTATAAATTAAAGTTTATAGAAAATAAAAGAATAACACAACTCAAATCAATTGATATTTCTACTCCTAATATTGACAATACAACCTATTTTAATACGGATATTAATGAACCACCCAAAGAAGATAAATTAATGTCATTCACTATGAATAAAACAAGTGCTACTTTAACCAGAATAGAAAATAATTACAAAGAAGTTGCTAATATTTTAGAAAATAACAGTAAAGAACTAGTTAATTCAACTGAAAATGAGTCTAATAATATTTTTATTATAAATAATAAACCAGTTATAATATTAGGTGAAATAGCTAAAGGAGGGTTTTCAACTGTAAACAAAGTAATTTATGATAATGAGGTATACGCAATGAAAAGATCATATAGAGGTAATTTTAAGAAAGAATTAGAAATATTACAGAAAGTATCATCCTATCCATGGGGTATTAAATTAATAGCATCTGATATTAATATTAAATTACATACATCAATATTAATAATGGAATATGGTGAAATAGACTTACAGAGATTTATAGATAATAACGTTATGAATATTTGTTTAATTAAAAGTATTTGGAAAGATTTGCTAGAAATAATAATATCACTTCATAATATAAAGATAATTCATAAAGATATTAAACCAGCTAATTTTGTATTTGTTAAGGATCGACTTAAAATTATTGATTTTAATATCAGTGTTGAGATGGGACCTGATACAACTAGTTGTCTTAACAGTAAGGAAGGTACAGCTTATTATTCATCACCTGAAGTATTTTTTAAAAAGAATGTAAGTAGATCAGCAGATATTTGGTCTGCTGGTTGTATACTTTATTATATGGTTTATAAAAGAGTAATAATTGATAGGGCTTATTTAAATGATTCAAGACGGATTAATGTTTATGATTTTTTTAAAAACAAAGAAAGTATAATTTATCCTTCTATCGGGGCAGATAATATTAAAATTACAAATAATTTAATAGAAACATTGAAAAGTTGTCTTAAATATGAACCAGAATTTAGAATTAAAGTAAAAGATTTAATTAATTCAGATTTTTTAAATAGTTAGATGTGTAATTTTTATAATAAAAAACCAGTTTTGGAAAGTAAAATTGATAGAATAAAAATTTTAATAGAAATTTGAAACAAAATAAATAAAAATAATCAATTAAGAAAAAATAATCAATTTATTAAATGATTTTATTAAAGTTAATTAAAGGTATAACTATAAGATATTTAGATAAATTTGGATATGACATACCAGATGTTCATGAATATGATAAGTTTAGAGTTATGATTACTGATAAAAATTCAACTTTATTAACTGTTATTAATCATACTTATAACATAGAATTTCCTATTATGGAAGATTATTGTAAATTTAAAATAGTTAATAAAACTACTAAAATAGGAGAACTTGATATTTGTAATAATATTTTATCATACACTAAAGACAATTTTAAATATGTTTATCGAAGAAGCAACAGGGTAGTTGATTTTTATAAAACAGATATTAGTTTAATAGAAGAACCTATCGAGGATAATTATAATAAGTTGAGAGTGTTTGTAGTGAATGATAAATCAGTTTTAAGTCATTTTGGTAAAAACGTAAATAAACATATAGAAATGATGTTTAGGGTAGTTAATAAGATATTTGTTGATAGTGGCTCAAAAATAGAAATTAAATTAGAAAGTATGTTTAGTTTAAAAGAAAACATATTAAACAACAATGATACACAAGTAAGTAAATTAGAAAATATAAAAGAGGTATTTGAGATAGTTAAATTCAATAACCCAAACAGTCTTCTATCTAAATCACACTTAACAATTTATTTATCAATGAATAACTTAGCTAGTGATACAAAAGAAGATAGAGATAATTTTATAGAAGGAGTAACATATTTTAATTCTATAACAACACCTGATAAAGCATACTCACTAATATTTATAGATGATAATTTGCTTTATTCGGCCAAAAAAATAGCACATGAAATAGGTCATAGTATAGGTTTAAAACATGATAATAATAAGGATAGTATAATGAATGAGGTATCAAAAGATGATAGGAATTTAAAGTTTTTTAATAAAGTATCAACAGGAAAAATTAATAAGTTTTATAGAGAGAATATTCACTTATTTAAAGATTCACTTATTAATAAAGACAGTTTAATAGAAACACCAAAAAGTGCTATAAAATTAATTAATTCAATGAGAGAAGATTCATTTAGAAAAATAGTTAAAGATAAATTAAATGGCAACTTACCTGATACAACAAATACAAAATACTTTTTAACTATCAGTTTAATATTTTATATTTCTGCAATCAGTTTAGTGATTTTTTTAATAAAATAAAATTAATCAAAAAATTTAAAGCATGAAAACAGAGAGAATAGAGACAATTAACAAAATGATACATGATTCTACACAATCAATACTAGATATGTTAAATACATCATATGGACCATGTGGTCTAGATAAGATGTGTATTAACGATAAAGAAGCTTTAATAACTAATGATGGAGCTACTATCCTTAAAAACTTTCAGACTAATCCTATTCATAAAATAATATCCTCAGTAAGTGATTCACAGGATGTTAACTGTGGGGATGGAACCACCAGTGTAGTCTTATTGTTATGTGCAATAGTTAATGAGATGATGTTTTTTAAACATAAGGATGTACATCCAAGTAAAATAACTAAAGGATTAAGAATTGCTAAAGAATTGTGTTTGGAGTATCTTAATAAAACTAAACTTAAGGTTGATGATGGTGAGTTTATACCAATAGCAGCAACAGCATTAAGTTCTAAAATAACAGCTTTTTGTTCAGAAATGGCTAAAGTGGCTAATGATGCTGTTACTAGGTGTAAGAAAGATAGGATTAGAATTCTTAAAAATATAGGTGGGTCAGTTAGTGATATTAAGATGTATAAATCAATATTGTTAGGTATAAAAGTTGATTTACCGGCAGAATTTACTAAAAGACGAATGTCAATATTACAATTTAGTATATCACCACCTAAAACACACATGGATTTTGAAGTTGAAATACAAAATTATGAACAAATGGAGAAGTTTGTTAATGAAGAAAAAGAGTATGTTATTAAGAGAATTAATAAATTAAAAGAAGCAGGTGTTGATTTAATTGTGATGCAAAAGAATTTAATGAGAGAATCTATTTCTGAGTTAGCACATCACTATTTAGAAGAAAACGGAATTAAAGTGATAAAGAATGTAGACAGAGATGATATAGCATATCTTTGTGAGACACTTAAAATGAAACCAATTTCAGATATTGATTTAGTAAATGAACCTAAAGAGG